GCCGCTCCCGCGTCTCGCGTCCCCATCCCTCGCCTGGCAATATCGATCGCCGTGCGGTCACATCTCGCTACGCGCTCGAATTGGACAGTGGGCAGGGCAAAGACGACGATTTTCGATAATTTTTTTCTCGTTAACTATTGCGAAAATTGCAAAATGTTTCAGGACTTTTCTGTTCATCTCGATCCGTTCTACCTTCTCACGAGCTCGTGGACAAATGTTATAACTCACCCTGTATGTTTTCTCGAACCGCGGTGTGCTTCACTTCTCTTTTAAATTCGTAATAAATGAAGATTTGCAATTTAGAAATATACATTTGTATACACCAACTATTGAGGTAAAATCTCTAATCTTAGTAACTAGAATTTAAGTAACAACGATTTTTGTTTCGAAACATTTTCTCGGTTGAACAGAGTTAGTAGTTAATTTAATCAATACCAATAAGTCCGCAGAATAATACACAAAACGTAGCAACAGTCACGGAACAAAGTAATGTAAAATATTAAGTATAAAAATTTCAATTTCGTAGGCGGGACAACGAACTCTCAACGTTCGTGGTTGTTAATTTTTCCCTCGGCGCGGTGACGTACGATGTTTTTGTGCCATCGTGTACTTGAAGGTCGCCGCGTTATCATTCGCTCGCCGAACGTCGAGCCGGCAAGCAGTGGCGAGAGTCACTTCGTGCGTGTTATTACTTTTGCGTTATCGGTTTCTAAGGCTCGGTCGCGAAGAATGTATGGATAAAACGCTATTGATTTGTACACCTTTATCAGTAACAAGTAACGTTCCGCGATTAATTACTTAGTTTCTACAACTTGTAATGAGAAACGAATGCGTGTTGAGGCGACGGCTCTTTATCAATGTATACATAGATATTTCACAAGACTAACTCATCTAAAATATGAATGTAAACCGTGATACTTTGTCGCGATTACATCTCCTTTACGCACCGCACTTTTAACTATCTATTGATGTCGTGTAATCTGTTTAATTTCAGGAAAAGAGAAATTTGTACGACTTCGGCGTTCGCGCTGTAACTCGCTCTGTCGTTCTTCGCAACTCGAACGAGCAGAAAGTAAAGAAAGTCGCTTATTGCACGTCGTTACATTATGTAAATGTAATCGAAAATTAGCTTGATTAACTGTTGCAATTAATAACAACTATTTATTGTTGGGAATTTTGCTAACCTAATTTATTTCGAGGATTAGATTGAATGACAAAAATTGTAAAATATCGTTTCGTTGCGGACTAATAACTACTTTGTCGCAGATTATGCTTCCGATGCTCGCGTTGCGTTTTATATCGCCAATTCAAAAGTGATTTATCCATTCCTCCAAATAAAAAATGCAAGTTGTTAGTTTGAGTAATTTGTATGACAAAAAATTACGCGATATTTGTTATTAATATTTCGTGCATTTCGCGGTATTTTACATCGCGTACGGGAGTGACCGAAATTTCGCGTTATCGATGATTTTCGCGAGTGAGTGTTGTGTGAGTGCAACAGGGCAATCTGAGAGGAGGAGGAGGCATCAGGCAACTGCGGAAAAATCGTGAGGTATGTGAGTGATAAATTACTTTTTATTTTAAATTGACGTTGCGCATACAATTACTTCTCTCTTTGCATATATACAAATACTTAAAAAAATACAATGGCCAACTACAAACTGCGCGCGCGAAGCGCGCGTTTTGTCATTTCTAATAAACTATAAAAGCGAGATGAGGAAACAATATACATATTACAAACATAATTGTATCAATATTTTAAAATAATATTGCTACAACACTACTAAAGTAATATTATAAAATAATCTCTGCAATATCTATGTAACATTACACTGCAATATGCAATGTTGCAATGTTGCAGCAATGTTGTTGCAAGCTTTTGTGTTGTATGGGATATATCGCATTGAAGTATTGTAATATTATTGTGATATTACTTGAATATTACGTGCTATGTGGGATATTACATGTAAAAAGGCTACGTAGCAACATATAACGACAAGGACACTTCGCTAGAGAGAGAGAGAGAGAGAGGGGGGGAGGGGGGAGAAAGGGAGAGGGAGGAAGAGAGCAATTAAAGAAAAAAAGAGATATTATTTTGATGTTTATTAATGTAATTATAATGGTTACAATTGTCGGTTTCATCTAACAGAACATATTGCAAGTTTCATTTGCTTTTCCTTTTTGCGTGTTATTACTTTTCGTATTACATCTTTAATCTCTCGATCAGATTTAATTTTTAGTTTAAACTTTCACTTCGTATATTAAATCACCGATCACATTTCCCCTCGGACCATAATTACATACTATTTTCGTCTTATTCCAGCCGTGATAATATGAGCTCATTTGACCACAACCGACTGTTGTTGTGTTAGCCCAGACTATTTGTGTATAGGAGATTGTATACTTATCAAATCTGCAAAGAAATTATATTTTACAAATATATTAAAAATATATTATAAATTCCAGATATTTTAATCAATATTATTGCATGTGTGCGCACATGTGTATAATTTTAATGTTATTTAAGTGCAATTATTTCTTATATATGTATACATAGATATTTTATATTATATAAGAAGTCTTGATGCAATCTGAAGAATTAATTCATATCTTACGACATTTGCTAGTATGTGTAAAATAAACAGTACTTAGAATATGAGATACTTACTCATATGGCAAGGAAGCTTTATTTTTATCAAATAAATATACATCCATGTATAATCGTTCAACCATTTCTCCATTGGATGGGTTCGAGAACGGGTGTTCTCCCGTAGTTTTTACACTTACTATGCTTTGACCAACAGCAAATCTGTCTATAAAACGCATAATTTGCCAACAAGTGGATCACTGATTGTAAGTCATAAAATAATTAATGTGTTTATAAACACTATTGTGTAAATCGGTACTTACCCACATTTCTGCACTCGTCGAAACCCAAATAGCATTGAATGACCCATCTTTGTGCAATATCTTCTAGTTCTTTATCCCAAGTCTAATTGCAAGAGAATATACAGGGTGTTCCATTTTAATTTTGGAATAAAAATATCTCGATATCACGAGGTTATAAAAAAATGTTTCAGATAAAAGTTATTTGGTTCGAAGGGAACAAAAGATGGTGGCAATTATTTGACTTGGATACTCGTTTGTAAATTATAAAAATGGAAGATCACTTTCAATTATGAACTATGTTCTGACCACTACTTTCTTAAATGGAATCTTCCATTTTTTGTATCATCTTTTGTCCATTGATTGATTTAAAAAAATTTTATGTGATACATTTTTTATTTGCTTAATATTTTTGTAAATATTCCAAGAAAACTTAGTACTGAAATACTGAAAAACTACCAAGTTTTTTTCAATACTTAATTTAAGATATCTCGACAATTGTCAGAGAGAAGAGTGGTACAGGATTTTTTAATATGATTTGTTCTCAAGAATCTGCTATGACTATATGTAGTTTATTTTAACTTAAAGATTTTAAAATCTATTTCGAGTTTAAGTATACAAATGTTTACAAAAGTGGGTACTATTGTAACAGAATATTCTTGAGACCAAATCAAGTAAAAAAATCCTATACCACTTGTCCCTCTGATAAACAATTATCAAGATAATGTAATGTAAATGTTGAAAAAAATCTAGTTTCCTTCAAATATCAAGAAATATTAGGCAAAAACTTTTCTCTTTATAAAACAAAAATAATAATAAATTAAAAATATAAAACTTTAATGGTTCGAAGTTAATTATATATGGACAGGAATTGTATATGAATTTGTTTAATCTGGTTGATTATTGTATTTTTAATTTACTATAAAAATATGTAATATGTCTTACCAAATCTGGCATGCTAACTGCCGGAGGTTGCGGACCAGGGCGTCCCTTGGTTTCCTGACCCGATGCGACTTTTCGTCTCAGTTCATTATGTTTGTCTAACATAGCCTTTCTATCAACATCATTGAGACCAACACTGATCAACGGCTCGCATCTTTTTGCTGGTATTGGTGTCTACAATATGATTTTGTAGAATTTGTAGAATTAACTATAATTAGTAGAACTGGCTTATTTGTAGAATTAGCTATAATAACTAATAAGTACTCTCTTAACATGAATTAAATACGTTTCTTAAAAAATCTCAACGACATATATTTCTAAAAAAAGAAAATTTAACTAAACTAATTTCTTTTATGCATTATACATTTCCAATGAGTCGAGAAAAATATTTAACTTTATATTTGTATGTAAAGGTAAATGTACGTGTAATTAGTCTGACTCACGATCACGAGACACGGTAGTGTCTCGCGCTAAGTGTAAGTGTAGCTAGTACACGCGTGCGATATACTTAACATCACACAATTTCTTTTCTTTTTGGTACGATATTATTACATATGCCAATAATCTGTTCCGATTGCACTAGCAAATATTCCTGCCATTATGGCAATATAAAAAAAATTTCTATCATGATGCTTTTCTTAACTTTTCGTTATCGTAGCTTTTTAAGTAATACTCTTTATTAGTTTTCAATGAATGATGTAATGTTTAAAGAACGATTATAATTTTTATGCTATGCGTAAGTACTTTATCATTTGAAAATGTTATCGTTAACATCAGTAGCATCAACCTTATCATGAAATTTTTCATGTACATTTTATCTTATCATAATATAACTTATCATGATATTGTTATTGCCAATAATTTTGTATCTTTTCTTATCGTTGCGTTATAGTATATTGTTGTAAAGAATGTATTTAATTTCTCAACATTTTCCTTTTGAAAAGTTAAGAATTATATGCAATTAATTGTACGGTTCATTCAACTATATAATTATTATTTGGGACTTGGCTTTCAAGCTTTCGCGGCTGCTGTCTTCTTCAGTCGTAATGGCTTCCGGATGGTTGCCGCGTCCGTTTGCAGTGTGGTGTAATTATTTGGGACTAATATTGTTTTATATAATTATTGTGTATATTTTGTATTCATATAAATATTAAAATGTGAAACAAGTAATAAACAATTAATATTATCTGACCAGAACTGGCAGAAATTTATTATGAAAACTATGATCTTAGTCAGGGTGAGGTATTATTTTTCGCAATAAATTTCGGCCAGTTCTGGTCAGATAATATTACTTGTTTGTTATTTAATCACTGGTAAAGAAAATATCACTTATGGTTAAAATATGAAATTTATTATTTAATATAAAGTTCTTGTTGCTAAATGTTTTATAAGTCGGCAAGCACTTAACGTGTCAAGTGATCTGACTTATAAAACCATTTCTTATTTCTTATCTTTTAGACCAATTTTTGATTCTAAAAATTATTTAATTGCAAGATTAAATAATGTAAACATCACCTACAAAAATATGTATATCTTTAAGATATTATAAAGTAGGTACTTCACTGATCATAAGAATACTATTTTGTATTAGTGCGTATATGGTTATTGTTACTTACAGGATATTTGCACATAGTGTGACTACCTTCTGAACACGACTTCATGTTGCAGTAATCAGTCGCGGTTACGGTAGTAACCGCGATGGTAACAAGACATAGAATATTACCGAATCTTGCCATTATCCTTTCTTGCGTATTATTAAATTTTGATGACGCCGCTTTCTTGATATCTTTCTTTATACTTTATAAACTACTATCGTATAAACTACTAAGCTTAATGTAACGCGGCAACATTTATATGAAATGCATTATCTCAGTGTCGTAGCTGGAGCAGGGCAATCAGGATCCATGCTAGGAAAGCGCAAAGGCTAACAATAAGAAAATTCAAATTATTTTATTAAAATGATCTTATTTGTTGCACATCTTCATTTTTTATAGTTAGACAGTACAACAGGAAAAATGTGTCATTATTTTTCGTCTTTCATTAAAAAGTCATATTTAAAGAGAAAATCTCATATGAAAATTTGATATTGAAGGTATACAAGAAAGTGTTTGAGATAAGGGGGATAGAGAGAGAGAGAGAGAATGCGTTAGAAAAAAAAGAATATATGGTTGGTTTAAACCAACCATATAAAGCCATATATAACCATTTATAAAGCCCTGTGTTTACGATGCTAGACATCGGCCCGAGATCTCGAACCAAGAAGTATGTAGCCAATCAACTTGCAGTTCTTGGCAAAGCTGAAGTTGATTGACTAAGTATTTCTCGGATCGAGATCTCGGACCGATTTCTGGCATCGTAGAACTAAAGAATTACAAAATAAATATAAAAATTGTTCAAAATATTTTTATTAAATGCAACAACGGGCCATTGTAAAATTATGACAATGTACGTGTTTTTCAATGTAACATTGATGCTACGTCTGTCACTCTAGTCTAAATTAGTCCTATTATAAGTAGAGAGGCGTAAACTAATAGTTTGAGCGTAATAGTTTGAACAATATTATAGCAACATTTCAAAACTATTGTGAACAATTTTCTAAATCATTCTATATAGCAGTACATATTTGTTTTTGCTTATGAATGAAGTTATCATTTACATAGCGTACAATTTGTACAGCAAATGTCAAACTTTTTACAATATTTTTCTTTCAATATAATCTATAACTCAAATGTAATTCATTTATTATTTTTAAAACAAGACCATAAATTGAAAATCTAACGAGAACATTTTGAGTTGTATTTTTGCTAAAGTTTCAGGTGCAAGGTCGATGCATTGTTTGATAAGAATACAATTTTCTTCTAAATTAAGGGTATTTATCGTAAATTGTTTTTTTTGCAATGGAATTGCATGTGTCAATGCTGTCCTTGTTAGAGTAAGAATTCTCTTAAGTGTTCTTTTAAAGTAGTTTTTTTAAGTAGTTCAAATTATTTTAAATAGTTTAGAATCATTATAATGCATTTTTCCGACAAATAATGATCTTCAGTCGCATTTATACTGTATATTTGATAGGAGTACATATACAATGTTTACAATTTTCTTATAAATTACAAGTATTAGACCTAAAGTGTTTTTTTGTTAATAAAACAACACATAACATGATAACGTATTTGTTACTGTTTGTGTTCCCCTAAAGTATTTTTTAAATTGTATCTACTCTTACAAAAAATTATAATAGTTACATATAATGTTGCTATGTACATTTCATTTCAATGCATTGTGATTAATTTTTCTCTCATTTTTTACGTCAGTATTATTCTCTCTTTCACTCCATCAGATACTTAACTTTAACTTCTTTTACTTTAATGTTTTACTTTTAGTAGCAAGATTGATGCATTATGTTTGATAAAAATACAATTTCTTCCAAATTACGGATATTAAATATAAAATGTTTTTTTTTGTAATGGAACGGCATGTGTCAATAATGTCTTTGTTACAGTACACATTCTCTTATGCTCTTGTAACTTGTTTTTAAATAGTTTAAAATATGTTAAATAGTTTAGAATTTTCATCATAATGCATTTTTCCGACAAATAGTTACCTTCAGTAGCATTTTTAAACAAGGTTTGCTTTCTATTAATATTATTACAACAATTGCAATTATCTGTTTCTATGTTGACAAAACATACTGCCACTCTTATTTTCTTTCCCATTTTCTTTCGTGTTATTACTTTTTATGAATATGTATATTGCATCTTTAATCTATTGGTTGAACTTATTTCTTAATTTCATAAATTTTTTCACCGATCCAATTTCCACTTTCACCGTAATTGCAAACTAGATATTTCGTATTCCAGCCGTTTGACTTCGTATACTTTATTATTCCGCAACCGATTTTAGTTGTGTTAGCCCAGACTATTTGGGTATAGTGGCTTGTATTCGGATCAAATCTATAAATAGATTATTTTATATAGACATCTTTTTGTATGAAAGTCTCGCTCCTATCTGAAGATTCACTTTATATCTTAACATATTTGTCAGTGCGTATAAAAGCTATATGTAATTAAAATATTGAATGTCAAAGAGATACTTACTCATATGAAGAGACTTTATTTTTATCGAACTTATCCACTTCATCGTACCATAGTTGGATCATACTTTGCAAACTGGATGTGTTTTCTCCCGAAGAAGACGTTTGGGCTATGTTCTGACCAACTTCAAATCTATCTGTAATGATTACATTATTTGCTATCAAATGGATCGATCGTGAATGGATCAGTCATGATGAATCGTATCTTTGATTTACAATTATCGTCTGTTCTGTATAGAGCAAGGAGCGTAAGATTCTTTTGAATAACTTTGTATTATTCGGTACTTACCTACATTTCTGCATTTGTCATGATTGAAATCGCATTGAATAGCCCACCTTTGCGCAATATCTTCTAGTTCTTTATCCCAGACCTGAGAGAATATATGTCACATTGATATTTAATTTGAACTATTTAAAATATTTACTTGAAATATGTTCCGTTGTATTACATAGCATATAAACCACAGTACTCAGAATTCTATTTTCCGAATTTTCTTGTAAATTATAAACCGTCGGTAGAAAATCTACAATAATTTTACGCACTTTGCTTTAAGTATATAGATAAATGTAAAACTATTTTTTTAACCTTTTGCAGAATTAAAATCAATTGAAATAATGTTGGTTAATATTAGCTGTTGCTACGCCAATTCTTACTTGATATAAAAGAAGATAATGATATGAAAAAAGACAATTGAATCTTTCAACCAAACTATCGTAGTTAGTTTAAAACACTATTTTACTTCTCTTCAGAAAATGTAAATAAATGTTTAATTGTTCCAAGTATACAGGTTGTATATATTTAAACAATGTCTTATGGGATTTTATTATATTTATTAATTTACCGTAATAAAATATGTCTTACCAAGTCTGGCATGCTCTTCGCCGCGGGTTGTGGACCAGTTCTTTATCCCAGACCTGAGTTGTCCTTTTTTCTCTCCACCTGTTGCGACTCGTCGTCTCAGTTCATTGTGTTTATCGACTATAGTTTGCCTGTCAGCTTCACTAATTGTAAGATCAATATTAGATGATTTTCCGCATGCACTCGCTGGTTCTGATGACTGCAACATGATTTTGTGGAATTAATTCACTACTTGAAGGAGAGTATCGATGGATCTCCTTCGAGTATAAAAAGCTATTAGAAACGAAACTACGTGAAGCTCGAAGGACTGTGTGGAACAAGAAGCGTAAGATTCCTTTGAACGAACAAGCGAATGAACGAGTGACAGATAATAGATTGACTCATCTCACGGAATATGCCTTAAATGTTTTGGCAAGCGTGACTGTGGCGCTATCAAAAACTTCTTTGTTTTAAATAACTTGGTTCTACACAAGACCTCGCCGATAAGATATCGTTTTTGCATTCGTAAAAATATAGCTGCTGTTACTTACAGTATATTTGCACATAGTGTGCAATGCTCTTTTAGCCACGCATGATTCCACGTCGCAGTAATTGGTCGCGGTTACGATGGTAAATACCGCGATTATGACGTTACAAAGAAGAATGTAGATTCTTGCCATTATCCTTCTTTGAGTCGATATATTCAACTTTTGTTGGCGCCGCTTTGCTGATACCTTTCTCGATTTCTCGGCAAACTACTAAGGCGGACAGAAAATGTTACAATTTATATACATTGCGTTATCAGTTAGTGTAATTTGCATAACCCATTAGCATTATAGTTTCTTCACCACTTGCGCGAATATTGTCTCCTTTCCTCCTCCAGTTTTCGATTGTTTTCATGGCGAAAACCGTATTTTATCGCTTGTATAGAAATATTGTCGATATTATCGTTCACTTTATTTAGTATTGAGAGGAAAATAGAAATTGTTTGTGTTACTATAGCTTCTATAATTTACTTAACATTCTACTTATTTATTGCGTGTTTTTGCACATGTGTGCAAATAAAGTAGCTGCAATTAAATAATTAGGAGACTTTTCATTGTTACGTATGCTTAGGAAAATTTTCAACAATACAATACAACTTCGTTTGCTTCTTTTTTAATATATTTCTTTGCCTTTAACTCATTTCTTTCAAAACTGTACCAAGTTTAATTCTGAAACATATACTCATTTATTATAAATTTAAAAAATTTTTCTATTTATAACATTCACATTGTAATGTGTGCATAAGACGTATTTGACATTGAATTAAAAAATTTATATTATGTAACACAGAAAAGAGAGACAGCACTTCACTCTGACATGCGGTATGTATTGTCACTGACAATTGTGTATTTTTATAAAAGATGTTCAAGAAGGAATGTGTTCAAGAATACTGGTTATACAATCGATAAAAAGGAAATTTATATAGATCATGCCATTAAACGATGTAGAACAGGTGTTTTAATTGTTCATACAGTTATCTTACTTTTATAATTTCGAAACATAACTGAGATTAGCGTTAAGAGGCATAACTGCTTTAAATAAATATACATATACGTATAATTGCAAATTAAAATCCGTTTTTAGAATTAAAAATAATTTATATTATTTTATTCGTTGTACACCTTAATTTTTTTAACAATGACAATTAAATATGTATAATATAATGTAATATTATTTTTTTATAATCTTATATCAGAAAGATATATTTGATATTTGTTGGAAAATTTAATATTAAACGATTTCAAGTGCGGAAATGAAAGAGTAGGAAAAAAGTCTCGAGAGAGAAAGAGGAAGGCGAGAAAGAAATTATCTTTCTTTCTATTAATACCAATATATTATTATAATTGCTGCAATTATGTATTTCTAAAGATAAAACCTCGGTGCATTTTTTTTACAATTTTCATGCTGATAGCTTTTATATTTAGGTACATCTGTAACATATCGGCAGAAGTTATTTCTTCTCATATATTCTGTTACCGATCCAATTTCCACTTGGACCATAATTACAAACTAGAAAATGGTTATTCCAGCCATTTGATTTATACATTATTCGTCCGCAACCGATCTTCGTCGTAGTAGCCCAGACCAATTGCGTATAGTGGCCCGTTTCCGGACTAAATCTATAAATAAATTATATTATAAACTTATTAGAAAATATGTCAATAATGTAATCTTGAGACTTTTGATTATTACTGTTATAATAATTAGTAATACTAATAATAGTAGTAATGTTAATTTAAAAGAAATAAATGGTATTATAATAGTAACAATTAAAATTATTAATAATAATAATTAAAATTATTACTATTATAATAGTAACAATTACAATTATTACTATTATAATACCATTTATTTCTCTTATACAAATGAGATATTTCATGATTAAAGTATCCATTATTAGAGATACTTACTTATATGAAGAAACGCCATTTTTATCGAACTTATCCACTTCATCGTACCACATTTGGATCATACTTTGCAAACTGGATGTGTTTTCTCCCGAGTGCATTGTCTTGGCTATGTTCTGGCCAACCGCAAATCTATCTGTAATGACACGTATTATTTGTGAATAAATAAATTAATGACTCATGAATTTAATTTACATTTATAAAGATAATCAGATAAGTCGGTACTTACCTGAATTTCTGCATTTGTCGTGACTAAAATTGCATTGATTGGCCCACTTTTGGGCAATCATCGCCAATTCGTCATCCCAAACCTAAGACAATGTATACGCACATTATATTTTGTATGTTTCAATTGCCACCTCTCGGAAGGAAGTAGCAACCACTAGCAACCCACCGAGAGTAGCTTTGCTATAAACATATAGTACGTGTATATCTGTATACGGAGCTGTTCGAAAGATCCCGCATATCTGACGCTAAGATGTATGTAGAGGAGTCACGACGCTAAAATCGAGTATAACGACATTGGCCAATCACTTATTCACCTTACACTTTCACGATTCGTGACTTCTAGGAAAATTTCATGGTCCTCTACGGGACTTTAGCCGAAAATAATAATCTACTGCGGTTTGAAACGGAGGGAAAATGTTAATCTTCACTGAAATATAATTGCGATCTCTAAAATAATTATATTTTAAAAAATTATGAGACAATGTATTTGATAATCAGAATTTGAAATAACAACAATTCTTTTTCTGAAGTAAATTATAATTTAATGAGTCTGGACAGCTCTGTCAGTAGGAATTACAATCAACCGGCAAATGAAAGGTCAAAGGTTTCAACCCTAGTCTAGTCTTTGCCCTTATCCAGGGTGTACTAAAACTACCGGATATCCTTTTAATCATAAATTCTTTAGAAACTTTCAAGACAAAAATTCTAATACAAAAATGTTGAGGCTATAATAGTTTTTAAATAATAAGCGATTACATTTCACAAATGACAGGCCTGAGATTTCGCGCGCTCAGGTACGGCGGCGCGACAAGTGATAAAGGTGTTCCTACGAATATCGCCCTTTTTAGCATAGTGACAACTTTCACAACAGACTTACCGATTCATTCTTGAATTAATTGTTCCTCTTGTTATCTTTAACCATTTCTTTTGTTAACTTTGTGTAACGTCTTATTAATAAAAGGGAGGGATTCACTACGATGGGCATCTTGATTAGACTTGATATCCTTCTGATTTAGTCGATCTCCGATATTCTGAGTGAACTTGGAATTTTCAGTTAGATTCAATCTAGTCTCCTGCCTCTCTTTATCCTCAAGTTTTCAAAATAACCGGATCATCGTCTTCCCAAATATTTTCTGTCCCGTTTTAAACGGTGACTTTGGTTCTCGCTCGCTCGCGAAACACATAGGAACACTTTTATCACTCGTCATGACGCCGTGCCTGAGCGCGCGAAATCTCAGACCTGTCATTTGTGAAATATAATCGCTTATTATTTAAAAACTATCATAGCCTCGACATTTTTTTAATTAGAATTTTCCTCTTGAAATTTTCTAAGGAATCTGCGATTAAAAGGATATCCGGTGGTTTTAGTACACCCTGTATACTTCTTCTATCTAATATTTTTTGGATTATTAATCTACTGTTAGTTATAATGTAAAGTCTTACCAAGTTAGGCATGTTAACCGCTGCAGGTTGCGGACCAGGGCGTCCCCTGGTTTCCTGACCCGATGCGACTTTTTGTCTCAGTTCATTGTGTTTAGCTACTATAGCATTTTTGTCAGCATTACTAAGGCCAATATTATTCGATTGGTTGCATGCTTCTGCTGGTGATGCTGACTACGATGTGAGTTTTAGGATTAGTTATGTAAGTACATTTATAATATACAGATATACATATAATATACACAGCTTTGTAGCTCTCTATAAAAAATGTATATACATATACATATAGACAAAATATTATTTACATTTATTTAATGTTTTAGGACCGGTTGTTCCAATTTGTTGGTAGGTTAACTTAATAGTTAAATTATGTATATGTCTTTGTTCTTCCTTAAAATTAGACGAAGGTAGACATATAATTTAACTATTAGTTAGCTTACCAAGAAGATGGAATCGGTCCTTTAATCTTTTAAATAGTTTATAAATTAAAAATAATGAGGAAGTAATCGCGTAATTTACGCTTGTGTCAGCTCTTTTTTATACTTTTTAAACATTACAGAAAACTGAGTATAAAATATATTTACACTCCGTGACTGTAATTATATAAAATGCAATTGTTGTATTCTTATGATGTGAAAAAAATGTATGTGAAAAAAATTACTTACAGAATACTTGCACATGGTATGACTACTTTTGTCTGTACATGATTTCACGTTGCAGTAATCGGTCGCGGTTACAACAGTAACCGCGATTGCAACCAGACACAGAATATTGCAGACTCCTGCCATAGTTCTTTCTAGTTTAGATATTTTCTGACTTTTTAGTCGCGGCTATGTTGTTGCTTTACTCGCGAATTTCTTTGCACACTTCTAACGGGACTGACAGAAAGCGACTACTATTTATATGCTATGTGTTATCAATTGATAAGCACGATACACATTAGCATGCTACGTTATTCATGAGTATTGTTTTCTCTCTCTTGTGCTATGTTTTCTCTCACGGTTGTCGTCATTAAGAAAACATTACTCATACCTCATTGCTTGCACAAATTGTACAAATAGTAAAGTGTTGTTGGTACTATTGTTTATTTTATTTATTGTAGTCTACCGGAAAATGAATAATTGCGTTAATGCACCTGACAATTTATTTTTTACTACTATTATTGTATATTTTTGCATAAGGAGGCTCGGAACTGAAACGTAATAACTTACTATACCTTTTATATACAAAGTGCCTTTAAAGTCTGTACCCACTCCCTATATTGAGGAAACCATTCAAAATTTCGAAAAATTGCGAAACATGTGTTCGATTATTTCGAGGAGCTACCTTTTTAAGAAGGTTAGAAGGGTTGCTTCCCCAACAGAATGACAGCATCAGGCGGGCCTCGACTTAAAAATTTCAATTGGAATCTTCCAAATTATAATACAACGCTTGAAAGGACATAAAAGAATTTTTTTTATGCAAAAGGTGGAGACTGATACCTTTATCCGTTTATCTGTTTAGAAGTTATTTGGGATCAAAGTTTGTAAAAGGCCAATTAAAAAAAAATCGTTATTTTTGTTTGGAAAATTATAGAAAACCGAATATGCACAGTAAATGATTTCGAATAAAGAGAATTCCTTGTTTATTTTAGGAAGGTCGTGAACATTATATATTTTTAATTATTATTTTTAATTTAAATGTTATTAATCTTTTGATAGGTGTCTACTGTAAAGCGAAATAAACTCAAAGACACAGGGTTTACATTGTTTTATGCAACTTTAGACTGGGTGTACAATGTCGACGTAGTAAGCTCGGAAAAATGGGTAATAAATAATAATTCGTAAAGAATTGATCAATCACGGTTGCAAAGTAAAGCTAAGACTCCATAGGTGCGTTGAGCTGCGGCAACGCCGTGCGGCAGATATATGGACCAATCAGAAAACTGCCGCAAGTCACCTGCGTCAACCTTGCGTTAAAATCAAAATTTCTTGATTTTGCCGCAGCGGCAAGACGGTAACCGCCAAACATAACCCTCATAATCGCTCGTAGGTTATATGTGGATACGGATCTCTTTAATATGGATTCGGATTCTAATCAATCTTCTAGTGAGAGTCTGAATGAATTAATCATTCATCATGTAAGATCCTGTCCTGTACTATGTTTGAGGTTAGTGTTCATTCCGTCAATGCGGTGTCACGATTGTTTAACGCACCAATAGAGTCGAACGCATTGCGTTGCCGCACGCGTTGCCGCAGCTCAACGCATCTATGGAGTCTTAGCTTTAATCCTACCTTTTTGCGTTAACTTCACTTTACAGTAGATACCTACTAAAAAATTAATGATTTCTTATTGTGACAATTATTTTTTAAAAATCATATAACCATAAAATAAATGCAAATTTTTGCCTTCTTCAGATTTTAATGAACAAAACAATATTGGTTATATGTATTGTTGAATTTTACATAAATAACGTCGCTTGAAATATCGAAATACTACAACGTTAGTATTGTAAAAGAATTTATAATATGTGGGTGCATGTTTTAAAATTTTGATATATTGTTGGAATAAGCTGAATGACAGTGAAACTAAAAAAAAGGAGAGAAACAAATGCTGTTGGAAAACGTATGTATAATGGAAAAGTCTTAATAAGACCATAAATAATAATAGAAAATATATCATACTTAACTGCGGCATTTTCTTTGCACAACTGTGCATAAAGCACACTTAACATTCGATTTTTTAAATTGAGATTATGTACTACGCAGATAGAAAACAGAACATATTCATAGAGGCACCACTTTGACATGCAATACTTATGTATGTACTGTCACACTGACAATAGTAGATTGCTGTAAGGAATATTTATGCAACAAGGTGAGATGCCGCTTTTATGGTAACAAAATAATTAACGTAGAACAACTTTTTCCTTCGTCAGTGAATAGATAATGAATGTTTGCGTGACAAAACTGTCTATCAATTATTCTTTATTACAAGTTACGACGTTTCGACCATGGATTCTAGTCCTTTTCAAGTAAATGATACACAATTATTTTTGTAACAATGACATATACAAGCGGAATACATATACAAAACTAATACTGAATTACAAATCGCAATGTAAAGAGGTTAAAAATGCTTACACGAAATGTGCGTCTTATAATAAAAAGTAATAAATGTTTCGAATTAGAGAGTCACGGAAGTTTTGCATTTTCTTTGCGAACATTTTACTTTACTTTGTCAGGGAGAGATTAGCTCGAATAACTGATAAAAGTGATTACATTATCAATATATCTTAAAATATAAAATATTTTCTTTTTTCATTGTCTTATTTAAAATTTTTGACATAGACATAGAATAGTAAGACTATTGTTGGAAGATATTGCTTTAAACAATTGTGTATAATTGTGCACATTGAATATCAAAAGAATTAAAGAATTCAAATTATTATTTAAATTACTTTATTGCACATTCTTATTTTTTATAGATTTATATTATTTTATTTATCTTTATTTTGGAATAACAGAAATAAAATGTAGTAGGTATTAGTTTTTATCTCGTATTACAAAAACAATTGCGGGGAAACTTATTAAATTTCGCACGCGCGCGCATGTGTGAGGGAATGGAGGGAGGGAGGGAGAAAAGAAAAACAAAAAAATATAATTTTTGTTGTTGTATTAATATTATTACATAATTACAATTATTTGTAGTAATAAAACATATCTTAATATCATATTTAGTTTTCCCCAAATGTTGCTATTTTTTATATTACATCTTTAATCTCGCGATCGGATTTAATATTTAGCTTCATATATTCTCTCACCGATCCAATTTCCACTTTTGCCATAGTTGCAAACTAAATAGTGCACATTCCAACCATTTTCCTGATACTTTATTCGTCCGCAACCGATTTTTGTCGTATCAGCCCAAACTATTTGAGTATAATGGCCGGTAGCTGGATCAAATCTATGTTAAATCAGATGGAATAAGTTAATTTATGAATTTATTAAAAAATAGGCCGTAAGGGAATCTTAAGTCAATTAAATTGCTTTAATTAATTATACCATTGTAATGTCATTTACAAGCGATTATTTCTTTTATGTGTATATCTTTACATATTACAACACTCACACGTGTTATCTAAAAACTTAGTTTATCTTAATGTACACAATATGTGTAAAATCTGTTATATGTATATATAATTGTAATATTCAATATTAAAGATACTTACTGATATGAATGCACTAGATTTCTGTCGAAATAATCTACTTCATCGTACCATAATTGGATCATGCTTTGCACAGTAGATGTGTTTTCTCCCGAGTGCATTGTCTTGGCTATGTTCTGACCAACCGCAAATCTATCTGTAATGACGCGTGTTGTTTATTAATGAGTGAATTAATGTATTATACCTATATGTAATTTAAATTCGAAATAATTCGAAATAATTGTATAAGCCGGTACTTACCCACATTTCTGCACGTGTCATGAGCGAAATTGCATTGATTGGCCCATCTTTGTGCAACCAGTTCTAATTCGCTATCCCAACTCTAAGAAGATTACGTGTGCGTATATTTTACATGCATATAAAATATACACAGAAAATTTATATGCAAAACATTTAGAGCGAAATTTTATTCACAGTTTTATATATCGCCTTCTTATATGTATATTTCAATTTGTATTAATATTTTTAAAATAGACGCGTAGACAACATCTTCATACTGTTATTGCGACAAATATTATCATATGCCCACATATGCCTCGGTGGTCGAATTGGTGAGACGCCCGCCTAGAGCGTAGAGAGGTCCAGGTTCAAACCCTGGCTGGGGTAATATTTTTCGCAATAAATTCTCTGCATTGACAGATAAATTAACAAATGTGCCTAGCTGTGGTCAAATAAAAAATGTGGAATTTTAATATTTTATGTGTATTAATATTCTTTTCGTGCGTGTATTAATTTATTTCAAATGAGTTCTTTTTATAATATGACATATAAAATTATAATGGACAAAATATTACACCCTTCGAATTCCTTTTCAAAAAATCGTCGGAAAAATTTATAGTGTCTTTATGCACTTTCTTTACACAAAAGAACATAAGATTGCTATTGGAACATTTCATAGAATCAAAATTAGTTGGATTAATGTTAATTAGTATTGATTATTGTTACTTTAATTTTAATGTTTACTTTTTATTTTATTTTTATATGTATGTATTATAATATATGTTATCTTAAAGACAATATGAGAGAGAATTGAATTTGTAAACCAAAACTATCGTATTCAATTACAATTTTATATTTTTCTTAAAAAATGTAGAGAAAAATTTAATTTTTCGAAGTAAAGAATGCATGTACATAGCTAATACTTTTTTCATTATTATAATATATGTATATTTTAACTTTTATTGTTAATAATATTATACATTATATCTTACCAAGTCTGGCATTCTAACCGCTGCAGGTTGTGGACCTGGATTACCTCTGGTTTCCTGACCCGACGCGACTCTCCGTCTCAGTTCATTGTGTTTATTTACTACAGCTGCTTTCTCAGCAGCACTAAGGCCACTAATAGTCCATTGTGCGCACTTTGGCGATGGTATTGGCGACTACGTTTATATGAGTTTTAAAGTTGGTTAAGTACTTTCATAATATACACAGAGATGCTATTTGTATAATAATATTGTAGCTCTGTGAAAACATATTACATACTAATTTTTTAACCTTTTAAATTCTTTGTAGATTAAAACATTACCGAATTAATCATGTAATCTAAGCTTGTGATAACTTTTGCACTTTTTTAATATTATAAGAAAACTAGTATGCCCTGACTGGAAATATACATATAAAATATTATTTTGTATTCCGTGTATATGTGATTATATTGTTACTTACAGGGAACATGCACACAGTATGACTACGTCCACATGATTTCACGTTGCAGTAATCGACTGCGTTTACGCCATGCGTAAACGCAGTCGCGATTATAACGCACAGAAGACTGTAGATTCCTGCCATTCTTTCTCGATTATTCTCTAACTCTCGGTCGTGACTTTAGTGATGCTTCATGATTTATATGCCCGCGCGTTATCAGTTAATGCAATTAGCATGATATTCCACACAGCAAAGTATATCTAAGATTTAAATCAGATGTCTCAGTGATATCTGAGTATAGTCCTTACGCAAACTGATGTTTAGATATCACCCAAATATTTTTTTGATACATTTTATTGTGTGAGTATACGTATATTACTAGTTTATTCTCGATTGTTGTCATTAAAAATACATCTCGTTGCTTGTACATTGTACAAACAGTAGAAATATTGTCGATATCGTTTGCATTTAGTAATCTAGCGAAAAATAAAAATTGTGTATTAACGTATTTTTTAGCATTTATTTTAGTCACTTGTACGATTTTTTTATAAAGGAACTCAAAACTGAAACATGTATAACTTTGCATATACACATGTATGCATATCATATTCTAGAATATTTTTTATTTTAAGGTTTCACTCTAAATGAATGAATAACATTCATGTAGTAAATCGTCACTTTTTATATAATATTAATTACTTTCGTTGTTTTCAGGATTAAAAAATTCATACAATTGTAAAATATACACAAACTGTATCCTCTTTAAATTTTAATGAAAAACAATAATGTTGCAGTGATATTGTACATAAAAAACTTTTTAATATGCGAATGTATGTTTCAAAATTAAATTTTATGTTTTCAGAAGAAACGACTCTAATATTACCAATAAAGTACATTAAAAAACTATTAAGAATATTCTTAAAGTCGCCAGCAGTAATTATAAATTAATAACATCGGTGATTTTTGTCGACCGTGTCTGGCAATTAAAATTCTTATTGCGAAAAATATTACCCAGCCAGGATTCGAACCTGGGACCTCCCTACAATCCGTGACGGGCGTCTTAGCCAGTTCGACCACCGGGGCTGTGGGTAATATTTTTCGCAATAAGAATTTTAATTGCCAGACACGGTCGACAAAAATCACCGATGTTATTAATTTACATTTAAAAAATTGATGCTTTTGAGAAACGTACTGTTGAAACTTTTTAATGAGCGAACATAACAAAAAGTCGACTTAGTTGCAACATTTCTTTACACAACTGTACACTGGTCATATTTGACAATTTTATAATTAAATTTTATAATTTTTTAATACGCAGAAGAGAGAACATATTGAAAGAGATCACTAAGATATGCAATACATGTTACATTGGCAATTGCATATTATTATAAAAGATATTCAAGAAATGATGCAATCGCGTAGTTTGAAGTTAATATGAGCATAGCGTCTGTCATTGCGTACTGATACTTATGTATGTGTATTAATTATAATAATATTTAAAAGATCAAGAAAATATTAATTTCCGTTTAAAAAACTTTCATAAATTGCTGGACGGATATTATTAATGGAAATTATTATGACATTTTATTATGTGTCATAATAAATTTAAATAAGAAGAATAATAAGAGAATGAAATAATAAGAAACTTAAATAATAGTTTCTACTCTTTTTGGTGCAAACATGATGTTATATTGTCTCATTACTTCATTCGACATACTTATTATCTACAAAGCATGTACTGTATAAAAAGTAAATTTGATTAGCTTTGTTTGTTTCAATTTTGTAATATTCCATTATTGAAGATTATATTTGAACGATATCATTTGATGAAAAAATATTAAATATTTATCACTTCTTATATAATAAAGGTTCCGAGATTATGATTTGAACGATATTATCCGGTAGAAAAACATTAAAACTTTATCACTTATATAAGGTGTCTGATTTTAAATGATCCACGCAAATATCTCCAAAAATATGAAAGATACGGAAAAACGTTTCAAACAAAAGTTGTTTGATAAGACAAATAAAAAAGATATCGACAAAATGTCGATAGAGCTAGATAATGTATTATATTCTTCGTTTCGACGGGAATATGTTCGTCTAAAATAGGCCCAGGCTTTTATCGATTCCCAAGTGTATGAATAAGTCAAACGACTTCTAAAGTCAAATTAAAGCAGTTAGAAAAGTATTTTGGGAGCAAAATTAAACATGTAAATCGATAGAAGGAAACAGATGTCTAACAAATTGCCTTAGCCAGCCGTTTCGTTTACTTTGCTCGTTTAATTTATTCATCGGCATAAAAACACCACTGCATATCACCGCGGTGTTCTTCATTTCTTTTAATTTAATTTTTATGTAACTATAATATAATTATAACTATAACTGTCCTAGCTTTCTATTTGTCTAGAGTCGCGTTTTTAATCGTTGACTTTCCTACGCTAATTTATTACGTATTGCACGTTAAGTCCTAATTTATTTGCTTACATTATTTTATTACTTTATTGGTTTGGTAATTCTTAATTTATTTTTGAATTTATGTTCATGTTTTAATGAAAAAGACTATAGTACAGTTGAAACGTTCACTTCTCGTACATTTTTATAATAATTTCAGAAAATATATTATTTTTAATTTATTTCAACAACGTGTTTGGCTAATAATTAATTGCTTTTATTCTTGATATTTGTTTATACGTTAAACAAGCATTTACCTTCTTATTATTAAATTATTGAATTTTAATAAAAATATCTATTAAATTGTAACATGGATAATTTCATTACGATTAAATTATTTAGTATAATATATAAATAAAGTTATAATTATATAGTTAATATTATATATAATTATATAATGTTATACATAATTTTTCTGAAAGTTGTCAAAATTAAAAAACTATTTCAGTTTAGCGATTTAGTATTTTTACCTATTGCTTTTAGTGAGGCAATCTAGTATTATTATTTTACCACATCAGATGATTTGTTGCACTATTAAATCACACAGTGTGTGTCATGGAAATTCGAGCATTAATAAATTCAGGACCATGAAAAGCTATCAGGTGAATTGAAAAATCACAGTCTGTTTAAATAAAGCTTCAGCTTATCATTATACGCGTCAATAGAACTGGACGCCCGAAAACGGCTCGATTTCGGGTCACGCACTTTAATGGGAAATCGTCGTTTTTTTTTCTCTTTATCCTCCTTTCTATTCTACCGAGACTGTCGGGCGTCAAAAAAATGTGGGCCTTGGTGGGCGGGTGGCTATTCGAATCTCTAAGAAAAGATGAATGAAAGCCAGAAGTCCATTCACGCGCGCACCTGACTCCAGGCTTCAAGTCGTGAGAATCGATCCGGAGATTTTTCAAGATCTCTTTCTTTTCCGCTCTCTCGCTGTCGTAGATATTGTGCTTAAACATCTTTGGGAATACAGAGTGTAACGTACTTACGGTCATTTTCTCAGCAGTGACCGTTCTTAGGATGCGTCTGTATTGCTCTACTTCTAGATTTCACATGTACAGTGCGTATATAAGTATATAAAATCGTGTAAAAAGATTCGAGAAATTTACGCAGTACATAAATTCATTGTTATTATAATTCGATAATAATAAAAAGTGTTTCTATTAAATTTCATAGTCATAGCAGGTAATTAAATATGAAGAGACGTGAATTGCTTCGTAGCAACACCATAAATTATAAATGCAATTAATCTATTAAAAAGATTTTTTTTAATGTTATGTTTTGTACATTATCAAGGTAAAATAAGCTATAAGAATATTATCCTATAACACAACGCATATTATTTGAATTCAAAGATAAAAATAAATTCAGAATAAAAATTATATCTAATAATATAGTAAATTACATTAGTAAATTTAAATGTTGGTTGAACAATATATGTAATTGTATAATATGTAATAATAAAAAATTGTGTTTATTTATAAAAGTAATCTGAGACACAACAAATGGATTCCTTTAAAAAGAATAGCATTCAGCACCTGTCGCGTCTTTCTGTACGAACTGCGTCTCTATCATCCTGAAACGATATACCTGATCCGAGACAAATTAAGCGCATAGAAAGAATTCAGAAGTTGACTACCAAATTCTCAGTTTCTCATACGTTCCGGAAATTCAATTTGCTACGCGTTAATAATTATCCGCAACAGGCTGATAGCTTAAGATTGATCTCGTGAGAATACAGTAGATCTTATTGTACTCTTTCCTCGAAGCCATATAGAAAATAATTACCCAATTATCTGTTTTCGCATCTCCCAAATCTAACAGGAAGTTATATAATTTGAGAGCCCTTCTACCTACAAGTGAGATAGTACATAAAAAGCGATGATATAATTCCATCTGTGACTGTTAATTGAAATTGAAAAGAGCAAATTTTATTGCCCTACAACATTTACTTCGCAGTAATCAATCTCTTTTTTAACGGTTTTCATTCTCGCGTGTGTTAATTTCTAAAATAAACTTGAAGGGAATTTCCTGTTATATGTCATTTTAAATAATATTATTTTATATAGAAATATTAGCGGTATTATTGCGTATATTATTATTGAAATGATAGAGAAAACCAAGTGAAGCGCAAAAAACTTCGACATTTTATTGTAAAATTTATATTTTCTGTCTATTCAGCCGTTGATCTTTTTCTCAGTATCATCTTCATGTTCCCCATGTTTCTCAGTATCATCTTCATGCTCCTCATGTTCTTCATGTTCTTCAGGTTCATCTGTATATTTTTTATCAGTGTCATCTTCATCTTTCTTGTCTTTCTTGTCTTTCTTGTCAGCATCTTCATATTCCTCTAATAGTTCAGGTTTAAGGAGATCCTCCTTCTTAGATGACCACGGACGCGGTGCCCTGAACTCAAGTTCGATTGTCTGTCTTTTATCGCCACTATCGCAGTGCTTTCTAATTCTCAATAAGAAGATATTCGGATTTTCCTCAAGGTCGATTGGTTTTACTATTTTAGACCTTTTAACTTCCCTGCTCTCCATACGATAAGCTGCAGGAGCGCCTCTGGCGTCGTCTTTTATGCTTGGATACAATGTGACCGTGCGACAGCCTATCTCCTCGCAGGTTCCCCTCGTCGGCGGCGCGTCTTCTCGAGGCGCGCGACAGAGTTCTAAATTTCCGTGAGCCATGTCGAACACAACTCCGTCGTCGCACCTTCTTTGACTCAATGCCGACTCTTTTAAAGCTACTTGACCAATGCATTCGCACGGGGGATCGTACTCTCCTTTGCCCAGTTCCTTGTGCGTCCTGATGATGACGCGATTGTCATTGATGATAGCTTCGATCTCCTTGTACGGCTGCTCCTTTCGAACGATTTCAGATACGACTTTGTTGGTTGGGACTTGCTCCGTGTTGGACATCACAAGATCCTTCGACTTCGATTCGTTTCTGCTCCTTGGAAACTGCTGGTTCATGCTCTCTTTCGATGCAGAAATCACTGCAGCGCTTACTGGCCTGCGCGAAGGGCTCGAATACATCCTAAATCCATCTACAACGCGACGATGAGAATATTGTGGAGGAAAACTGACGATGCGTGTACAGAAGGAATATGGAGAAAATTTTTACCATTGGTGCGGCAACAAGTCCCGTCTTCAGATTTTCGATAGATGTGTTCTGGTTTCTTTACAGCGCTGTATCGTGTACAACGTTGTGCTATTTGTATTTGCGAACGGTGTAGAACGCCGTACGGTTGAAAGCAACAAGGTGAACAAGGTGCTTGCGATTCTACTGGTCCAGGGATCAGGGAAGATGGTTTCGCTGGACAGCCACAGTTGTAAGTAGCCGCAATCATTCTTGCTGTTTCGTTTTCGTTATGTATGTGAGTAACGGGATTCACCGGGTAACATGATGGCAAATTGTTACGTCGATTTTGATCGGATTATCCGAATGGTAACATGATTTGAGTTGGGTCAGCCGAATGGTGACATTACTGATCTATGGGAAATGGCAAATCTGCGATGTGTACTTGTTTTTTAACGCGCAACGCGTGAATTATGCCGGAGCTGAAAGATCGATTTTAGTGAACGCATCTTTACAAAAATGGGACGTTAAATAAACATACGGTAACCTTACTTTCAATTAATATTATACCACAATCTTCAAATTCTCCGTAAAAATGCAGTTTTCTAACGATAAAGGTAAATATTTAAAAATGCCCGTTTTTCTTCAACAGTTACATAAATTTAATCAGAATTGCTTATACTTAAAATTCCATTCAATATTTTTTTAAATCATTGCTTTTACTGTATTTAATTACAAAACAGATTGAAAATAATGTAAGATACTCTTTTATAATGTTACTTTACTGATATATAATTTTATACAACATATTTAAAATAAAACATTCACATGCAAGTCCAGATTTTAATCATAAATTGTTAATAAATTGTTTTAACAAGATGTATGCCTCTGTCCTCCAATATCTTATCCGCTTTGTCCACCATCGTCCTCGTCACATTTGCTTGTCAAGGATGTTTGTTCAAAGTATTACCAAGAGATCGGAGCAGAGATGATTAGCAACCAGCTGATTATTAGATTGGAAAAGGATAAAAACAAGTCGAAAAGGAAACGAAAAGAATGGGATCCACCTTGCGACTGCATAGAAATTCAAAGACCGACGAGCAAAACAGGTCCTAAAATAATAAACGCAGAGTATGATGACCGCATTGTGTTTCGTGTACACTCGGCGTTGAAGGGAAAGGAAGATCCTTATAAATCGCAAACTATCGCTTATAAAGTTAGTAAATTGGAAATTTCTTTCAAGAAATTACTGGCTTTTGACGTGCAGCCATACAGAATAGATTAATATTTTTAATGAAACAAAATTGTATTGCGAGTTAGCTGGTTTATGATTATGTACATACTTTATACATTTATATTATTATAATTAAGATAAACAACATTTTCTTCTCTTCAACATTCTTTAAATCTTTAATTTGTATAATTGAAAAACTTTATTCAGAAGATAATATGTAATAATATTAAAAACAAATTGGAAACTAGATACAACAATGTCAGGAAAATTTACAACTTTAACTCTGCTGGAAGAATATATATTTTATATATAAAATTTAAACGTTTACAGGTCGGATCATGCAGAGATGGACAGGGTAACCATCAATGCAAGACCATCACTGTATATCCTCAATTTAGCTCCGGAACGCAAGAAGTGTACAGCGATCATATAACGGAGGGGAATGAAGATATTTTCTTGTTGAGAATTAAGAAGAAAGCAGAATACTCTGAGCAGAAAGATAGAAACGTCGAATTTGAACTCAGAACGCCTAAGCCGCCGCCAATACCGCCGCCCGAACCTGTACCTGAAGTTACACCACCGCAAACCGTTGCTGATGTAGATGTAGATGTTGAAGAGGAACCGGACGTGGTAGAGGAGATCGCCAAGCAGCCAACACACGCGAAAGGAAAAAATCACAAACGAAAGAAGAAAAGAAAATAATTGTCAGATTAAAAGTAACGCGCGTCGACTTATTTTCATTCTAAAGTACATCAGGTAACTGAAAATAAAGTTAAATGCACTCTGTCAATTACATCAAAACTGAAGAGTAAAAACATAAGGCAATTAATGATTTCTTAAAAATATACTTTTCTTTGTATTTTATATTTTAGAAAGTGATAATTTTGTATATAAACACGTCTTCAGTTTGTCTAATTCTTCCATAAAGAATAAACATTTATCTTCATCAGATGACTAGAGTTTCGAGTAAAAAGAGAAAATATTTGTGACGTTAGTACACAATTAAGATAAATGGATGTAACCTTTTATCGAACACGTTTCCGGAAATTCAAAGAATAATACAAATATCGTAAAGAAGAATCGGACCTTTAACGGTAGCCCTTGATGATACTCGGAAGAAAAGGCTGAACTCCGTTTACCACTAGGCAGATAGAATCATCAATGAAATGCATGTTGTATGCTGAATACGGAACTCAGCTTGTGTCCAGTGTATTCATCGCTTCGACCGCGTAGCCGTGCAAAATTGCTTCGTTATGGTTGACCAGATGAGCCTCTCGTTCTAGCCTCGTTTCCTTTCCTCCTTTCCTTGACTATACAAAGGGCCCCGTGTCAGTCAATGACACAGCATGCCACTGGAGAACGTATTATTGATAACCTATATTGTCATAATTGCTTGCTAACTTCCTCATGCTCCTCGTTGAGTGAACGAGCTACCAAAGAATGGACAAGGATTGTTGTGCCATCTCGAGATGTCGAGACTTATAACTTTGCGATCCCCGTATGTCATTAAGTCGATCGAAAGTATGAGAAAACTACGAGAAATATTTTCGCACGTTTTTCACGTAAATGCACTAAAAAAAATTTCGCTACCGTAGGAAATCGTGATTTGCTAAAAATATTTTGCTACCGTAATATAAATTTCTAAACCACGGTGAACGGTTTGCCGTTGCACCTAATATAATAGGCACAGTAGCAAAATATTAGTTATTTCGGTTGTAAAATATGGACGGCTAAATATTAGCCGTTATTTTACAACTAAAATTTAATTACCACACGCAGGTTTTAGCTACGGCAGCTACGTTTTTTCTCGTGTACGTAAAATCGTATACACATCTACGAAACAAGATTGCCTCCATTTAATTTACAATTTCTCCATCTTCAAATAAAAAATATATGTATATTTAACACACTCAGCTTTGTTCGCTAGCTCTCTTATTTCTTTTATTTTCAAGATATCTTACTTGCTGATTTAAATACTTCATTAATATGTAACTAAACAGGACTTCGTGCCCGATGCAATAGCGTTGCATAACACAAACGAGCGTAAGCTGGAAGTTGTTAGTTATATGTATAATCAAAACTATATGTATAAGTAATGTATTAACCAAGTAATATATTCAATTTTTTTCAGGTGGTTTTTTATACAAATTTTTTCCAAATAATGTGGTTTTTTAAAAAGTTTTGTAATCCTTGCGCATATGCACAGATGTTCGCGCGCCGAGCGCTACTCGCGCGACCTACTATCTTTACTAGGGTACAGCAGCGACATCCATTGGTTCCTAACTAGGTGCTAGGGATCGCAGAACTTCAGCTTCCTTCTTCTTCACCCTTCGCTATTGTGATCTTATAATTCGAACTTCGTTCACGGTTCGCGTTATTACGGGACATTTGTCTGTACCGAATAAATCTAGTTTCTTCTTCTCCTAACCCTCAGAAAGGATTTTAGTTACTGACACAAAAAAGATTCTTGACACATTTATATCTCTCACAACCTCATTTAGTATAAAAATAAGTCAATATTAAAATAAAATTAATAATTCTTATTCTCCTCTATCGAATTAAAAAATAAAGTGTGCAAATTAGAAATTTGCACATGGCTTCCTCATAGAGGAAGCTTTAAGAGCGAAATAAGAATATGCAAACTTCTAATTTGAATACTTTCAAGAAACATCGTAGTAAAGTTAGATTTCTCTCTTAAAGCTTCCTCTATGAGGAAGCCATAACAATGGAAGCAATGTGCAAATTTCTAATTTGCCTACTTTAATGATGAGGAAGAAATGTGCAAATTTGCAATTTGCACGCTTCAATGATAAAGAAGCAATGTGCAAATTTCTAATTTGCACACTTTACTTTACTTTACTTTACTTTTTTTTCTAATTATATATTATATTGTTCTTCAGTTTTTTCTATCAAAATTTCATATACAGGGTGAGTCTTTCCATATCCGACAAAATTTTTGAGAAGGTAAAACGGATCGAGATGAACGGAAAAGTACTGTACCATTTTGCAATTTTCGTAATAGTTAACGAGTAATTAATTATTAAAAATCGTTGTCTTAAGCCCGCTATTTTTCCTGCTGGATTGCTTGCAATTTAGTAAATTACTAGGAATCCTGAATGCTGAGTGGAGCAATGATAGTAATTTACTAAATCGCAAGCAATCCAGCAGGAAAAATAGCGTCGTCTGCAGCGGGCTTTAGGCCGGCCTACCGCCCAATTCGAGCGCGTGGCGAGATGTGCGCATAGCAATATCG